GGAGAGCCTGTTCAAGGGACTCCCCCTTCTTATTTTTCCGTCTCTGCTCATGTGCTTCCAGGGACCCAGTAAGCTCTTCAATGGTGAGCGTTGAGGAATCCTTGGACTCCTCTATTGCACATACGATATTCTCGAAATCATTTGTCAATGACCTTAGGATCTTTTCAACAACTCGGTTTGATGAAAGACTCTCACCATTCTAATTTAGTTTGTTCACCAGATCTCCACCCGAGTAATGAACTCAGATACGCTTTCAGACTCTTTCATCCTCATGTTTTCCAGCTCGCCCCTAAGGGTTTGAAGTCGAACCTGCTTCACTCGTTCGTCTCCTTTGTTTGCCTTTTCGAGTGTATCCCATGCTACTTTGGAAGATTTTGCATTTGCACAAACGGATTCGTCAACAGCTCGGTATAGCAGATACAAAGTTGCCTTGTCTTTAGCTCGAACGGCCTTCAACGCGTTCAACTGGGCATTTGAATATCCGTCTGTGCTCGCCGGTTCCTCAAATCCAGTCTCGACCACGTCCCAGTTATCTTGGGAGCCGAGAAGGGCCTTTATCTGCACCTTCTAGTTGTCATAGTTAACGTCTTTCATCAACTTGGGTAGCGGGATGCCATTGGTTAGTGCTGCCATTTCTCTCGGTGTTTACACTCAACTCACACACCTCACAAAACTCTTAGTTGTTGCTCTCTCTCTCTGCCTGCGCACAGTGTCGCGTTCTCTCTCAGTCACACACAAGCTCTGATGCCAATTTGTAGAAATATGGGAAATATATTCTTCATATAAAGTTTCTGGAAAACTATCCAGAATACACAAATACAAAGACAGCAATCTTAACTCTCACAACTCTGAACAATCAACTCTTTAACTCGCATAATACAACACAAAACAACTCCTCTGTATCTCTCCTTCACCGTGGGTACTCTTTTTTTTTCTCCACTCACAATACACAACTTTTCTTCTTTCCTCTCCATGGTGGTGTGTTTCACTTGGCAGCACACTTCTCCCTCTCTCTCTTCTTTCAACCACGGTGCAAACACTTACCATATGCCACACTACATACAAAACTATATTTATAATAAAAACTAAACCTAACATCTCCACTACTATGTGGGTAATGACAATGCTAACACAATACCTAACTTCTTTTACAAATGGGGTACACTTTGGTGCATAATTTTCAACTAAAGACAAAATACTTTGTGGCAATAGGTCCATTTAAAACTTATCCAANTGACCTTAGGATCTTTTCAACAACTCGGTTTGATGAAAGACTCTCACCATTCTAATTTAGTTTGTTCACCAGATCTCCACCCGAGTAATGAACTCAGATACGCTTTCAGACTCTTTCATCCTCATGTTTTCCAGCTCGCCCCTAAGGGTTTGAAGTCGAACCTGCTTCACTCGTTCGTCTCCTTTGTTTGCCTTTTCGAGTGTATCCCATGCTACTTTGGAAGATTTTGCATTTGCACAAACGGATTCGTCAACAGCTCGGTATAGCAGATACAAAGTTGCCTTGTCTTTAGCTCGAACGGCCTTCAACGCGTTCAACTGGGCATTTGAATATCCGTCTGTGCTCGCCGGTTCCTCAAATCCAGTCTCGACCACGTCCCAGTTATCTTGGGAGCCGAGAAGGGCCTTTATCTGCACCTTCTAGTTGTCATAGTTAACGTCTTTCATCAACTTGGGTAGCGGGATGCCATTGGTTAGTGCTGCCATTTCTCTCGGTGTTTACACTCAACTCACACACCTCACAAAACTCTTAGTTGTTGCTCTCTCTCTCTGCCTGCGCACAGTGTCGCGTTCTCTCTCAGTCACACACAAGCTCTGATGCCAATTTGTAGAAATATGGGAAATATATTCTTCATATAAAGTTTCTGGAAAACTATCCAGAATACACAAATACAAAGACAGCAATCTTAACTCTCACAACTCTGAACAATCAACTCTTTAACTCGCATAATACAACACAAAACAACTCCTCTGTATCTCTCCTTCACCGTGGGTACTCTTTTTTTTTCTCCACTCACAATACACAACTTTTCTTCTTTCCTCTCCATGGTGGTGTGTTTCACTTGGCAGCACACTTCTCCCTCTCTCTCTTCTTTCAACCACGGTGCAAACACTTACCATATGCCACACTACATACAAAACTATATTTATAATAAAAACTAAACCTAACATCTCCACTACTATGTGGGTAATGACAATGCTAACACAATACCTAACTTCTTTTACAAATGGGGTACACTTTGGTGCATAATTTTCAACTAAAGACAAAATACTTTGTGGCAATAGGTCCATTTAAAACTTATCCAACAGGTTCTACACTTGGGTGGTGAAATAGGTGACCCACTCAAAGCTACCAAATATGATTAATCCATTAAAACACCATTTTCCAATTAGAGAAAGGCCCCCAGGCTAGGACCTGTTGCTACTCTCATGACATGATTCACCTCTCTCTGTTTGAGCATGAATGATCATTAGAGTGTCAGGATAACCCCCATATGAAAGCTTCTTACATTTATACCCGCATCACTTGTTACAAACACTAAGAATTCTCCTTAGAACTCATACAACCTCAAATCCACACCATCATGTATCCCCAACCATTTTACTGAGTATTAGGTAATTCATCACATCACATATAAATCCAAATAAAGAAGGGAAATAAAAAATAAGACAACCCAACAAATTCATCTCACTCGCCCAGCAGACATATCCCACTCGCCTAACGAAAGCCCAAACAGGGAGCCCCTCCAGCCTAGTAGGGAGCTCGCTCAGCCCCTAATCATCACTACTAAAAACTCCAAAAAGTCACCCAATGAACACTCTCCACTTGCCCAGCAAGAGTCAACACAACAAGCTTCACAAGCCTAGGGAGCTGGCTCGCCTAGCCACTAGAACTCATTGTCAGAACTCTTATATACTCGCCTAGCAAACCCCCTTACTCTCCTAGCCACTTTGCATTATTCTACAACACTTAAACTTGTAGAATTTGTACCTCTAAACCTCTCATCACCTATCCTAAACACTTTTACTAACTTCTAATACTCCTAGATTGAATTCTAAACTATAATTGACCTAGCCAAAAGTATATAAACCAATCTAAACTCGTTTTGAACTATTTTACCACAAGATTCCAACTTAAAATAACTAAAACCTCACTTTATGAACTCTAATTCAATTTTACAAGTTTTAGCTCACAATTAAACCACTTAGGGGTCTGAACAAGTCAAAACTGAAAGACATATCTTAGACACTTATTCTTACTCTTCAAAACCCCTCATTCTTCAAAATCTCACTCTTATAAACCCCTAATTCAAGCCTAAAAACCTTTATAAACATCCTCTTGACTCATTCTCACTTCTATATCAGATTTTTATCAACTCAAACTATCAACAAGTTCTAATTGACCCTATAAAATGTTCCACATTGTTGTTTATCCCTTTAGACCCTTACTTCTAAAAATTATCTATGAAAACCTCACTTTTTAGACCAAACCAATTCATGTTTCATTCTATATCATTTTTTTCAACATATAACCAATTCATAACAACAATTTCACAACAACACCACCATTTTAAGTTAAATATCACATCAAACCAGAATTATTCAACCAAATTCAATTAATCTAACACATTTAATACTAACATACTCATTTCAAGCATACAATTCAACATACATTGAACTCAAAATAAAATAAAACATTAGCTCAGGAATTGTATGATGATGTTTACATAATATGATTAAGTATGGTGAAAACATATGATAGACATGTATGATAATGTTCAAATGAAATGGAAAGTGTGGATTTAAGTATGATGTAAAAAGGAATTTCACAGAGGAATAATCTAATGTTGTTATGTAGTATAATGTGTTGAGGTAGGAACTCTGGGATTGGAGGATGATTTTGACACTTTCAATATCAAGTAGAGATGAGTGATTATATCGTGGAGAGTAATAAGAGGTCCTAAGTCTCATGATCATTTATTAACCATAGATATTTGACGGATTAATCTTGGTGTGTGAAAGTTTGATGCAAAAAATTATCAATATTAAAAACTTATTTTTTCACCTTTTGTACTTTTCAAATTACGCTTGGATAGTATGATATATATTTTTTATTTTGAATTGTTTTTGGAGTTTAACATCATTTTAGAGTAAAATTTATTTAGATTTGAATTAAAAAATTATAATTTGTTTATTTTTTTAAAAAAACTTATAATTATGTGAGCCAGTGAGCCAACTCGTTTAACCCACCAACCCGTGGTGGGTCAGACCGGGTTTGAATTTTTTCAGCTCAGTAATAAGTGAGTCGGGTTGAATTGGCTCATTATGTAACCAACCCGTGGTAGGCCGGGTCGAGTCGAGCCAGTTACCTGTTTTGACAGCTCTACTTAGAATTCGTAATATATTAAGATACTTTTGTCTACTAAAACTCGGTACACTTTACTAAAATATACCAACTAAAAAAAGCTTTTGTATATTAGCAAACTCATATATAAAATGAACAGATTTGTTTTAAAGACTATTTATTAATAAGTATTTCCATTAATTAATTTATCATTTAATGTAATAATGATTTACGATTAAGGATATCTATAAATTGATTGATATCATGAATAAAGTTACCGTTTTAGTGTAAAACTTAAAAGAATATTAATATATCTTCTCTTTTAGGAAAAGGAGAGTTAAAATGAGTTTATTACTTTAAATTAGAGAGTATTGACTTTCTTTTTCAAATTACTTCGCATAATTATACTGTTTTTATCTTTTACATAACGAGAGTTTCATTATGAAAAAAATTATTTTAGCACATATTTTATTAATATTTTGACAGTACTCTAGTACATTTTAATACAATACATGTTATTTTTTTATTGATTTATTTTTATTTGTTATTCAAAATATTGTAAACAAAATACGTTAACATATCCATTTTCCTTCATTATATATACCATCACCCATAGGCCTATAGAAACACAGTTTGTGAAGAAACCAAACTTAGAAGAATGAGTTGGTTTCTTGGGATTTTGTTCCTGAGTTTCATATATGGCAGTGTTTCAGAGGTTCAAGACAAAAATGACCGTTCTGCTGCTGTAATTGGTACTGTTTACTGTGACACATGTTCTGAGCAAGATTTCACACCCGAAACCCCCTTCATTTCAGGTTCATTTTGATTCCCTTATTGATAATATATACATGCTTCAATTTCACATATGATATCCATATCCCTTAAGGTGTTTGATCTTTTGACTCAAGTTGTGTTCTGTCACGATGTCATGAGCAGGTGCCAAAGTTGGTGTAGAATGCAAATTTGGGTATTCAGTACCAAGTTTCAAGGAAGAAGTGGAGACAGATAAACATGGTGAATTCAAAGTGAAGCTACCATTCAAAGTGTGGAAGCATGCACAGAGAATCAAAGGGTGCACTGTCAAACTCATTAGTAGCAGTGAGTCAAATTGTGATGTGCCCTCAGTTTCCACCTCTTCTTCAGTGAGTCTCATTACAACAAAGCAAGAAGAACACATTTTCTCAGCTGGCTTCTTCTCATTCAAACCTGTTCAAAAACCAAGCTTTTGCAACCAAAAACAAAGTGTTTCAAACCCATCTATATCAGATGAAAATTCAGCAGTAGATACCGTTTTCCCTCCCCTCCCATTCCTACCTCCAATCCCATTCCTACCTCCAATTCCCTTCCTACCTCCAATCCCATTCCTACCTCCAATTCCTTTCCTTCCTCCAATCCCATTCCTGCCTCCCAATCCATTTATACCTCCAAACCCATTCCTACCTCCAAACCCTTTCCTACCTCCTAGCCCACCAAGCCCACCCCAAACTCCAACTCCAGTGCAACCACCTTCAAATACTCCACTTCCATCACCAACATCTCCTAGTCCATGGTCACCACCTCCCGAGATTCCTAGTCCATCTTCACCACCTACCGAAAGTCCAACTCCATCGTCACCACCTCCAAGTCCATTGCCAGAACCTCCAACTTCAGAACCTCCAAGTCCATTGCCATCAAGAAGTGCACCCGCACTCAACTACTATACACTCTAACCACCATGCCCACACAGCCAATTTATCCAATGCTGTTTCATCCCCTTGAGATTAAATAAAGCACTTGACGAAGAACTGCGCAATTTAAATGAGCTTCCAGGAAAAAAAGTAGAAAGATTGAAATGTTAAGTTAAAATTAACTTACATGTTGTAGAGTGTTTGAAAAATTTAGATATGTAAGTTAATGTTAACTTGCCAGAGGAATTTATACAAGTTGGTGCTATACCTGTTCATAAATTGGTTACTTTCGTTATCGGTCGTGAGATATATACGTATATTTTCTGATGATGATCTGCGGATAAATACATATATGTTAGCAATTGGTTAAAAATATAAGGGTATGCCACTATATTAATACAATATGTTAATAATAGATGAATGATGAACTGCTAAAATTCTTTGGACTTTGAATAGAAGCCAACATATTATAATGACCCAGAAATATTTGATAGAATGGTACACAGTGATCAACTGCTTCAAAGCCAACGATGGAAACTTCCTTCTAGATTTATGCCACTTCCTTGAAAAATCGATTTTCTTTGCAATATCTGTCTTGCTGTACTTATAACTGTTTAAGGAAATCCTAAAAATATTTTTCTGCTGGAGGGTCTAAAAGTTTATACTAGAAAAGGCTTATGTGTGTTATCATATTTGTTTTGTTTGAAAGTTTGTGGTTCTCAGATTTTCTTTTGCTTTTATTTATTCTTCACATCCCTCTTCTGATTCTCAAAGCAGGAATTCTTAGTAATCGGTTTTCAACAATTAAAGATAGAATATCACAAAATAAATTAACTAGTTTTCAAAAAATATAATAATAATAACAATAAAAGATAAGAATAAAAAAAATTAAAAAATGTAAAAAATGAATTTATTAAAAATTGTTACTTATGAATATATGTATGTGTTAATTATTAAAAACTTTAATTCAAATAATATTTCTATTTCTCTTTTGTATGAGAGATAAGGTAAAAAGAGATAAGAGTTATCTCTTCGTTTAATGTATGTAATATTATAACTTTCAAAATATAAAATAAAATAAAGTTTGACGTATTTGGATGTGGGTGGAAAAGATAAAGATAGGTAGATACAAGGAAAAGAATTGGCAAGTGATGAGATTTAGGAAATTCTAACATTTTAAAAACATTTTTAGCTCTAATTAATAAGTAAGGAAGGATTCAGGTCAAACTATTTTTATGTTAGTGTTAATAAACTTATATGTGTTTTATTAACATATTTTACTTATTTTGAACACATATTGTTTTACTTCCTTTAAATTTTTTTTTCTAGTTTTTAATTCATTATACCAATACATCAAACTTTTCTTTCTTTTTATATCTTTATTATTTAATTTAATTATTATTTAATATCCTCTAGTCTACTTTCAATTGGGTCACGGCATTCTTTATTAGTTTATATCTTTGTCTTGAGTTTATATCTATACATCATTTAATTTATTTTTAATCGCATACTAGTCTTCTTTATTAATTTGTATTTATGATATTTAATCACACTAAATTTATTTTTTCTCATTTAATAAATTTTCAGTTACATATTGGTCTTATTGATTTTATTTATTTGTATGTTTAATTTACTTTCCAAATGAGTTCATATCATTGCTATTACATGGAGATTTTATTAAAAAGAAAAAAAAAACATGGAGAGCCATGTGATAAAATTACATCTCAAGACAAAACAACACTTGTTATGAAAAAAAAAACTTCATGATTTCTTTTAAAAAAATAATTTCATACTTTAAATTACTTCGTATAATAAGAAAAAGATAAATTCTTTAGCATATTAAAATATTTATCATTAATCCATCCTCTCATTTTTCAAAAAATGTCTTTAATTTTTATAAGTCTTTTATCTAGAAGCTTAATACTAAACTTTTTTGACCTATTCTTACCGGTTTAGTCCCTCCAAACCATTATAATTGTCAGAGTCCATCACCAAGACAAACATCTGTAATTTGATACCACTTGTGCATATAAAGGAGCATGTTCATCAAGAAGACAAAATACCAATAAAATCTAAGCACATATATTGGGTAATGTTTATTTTAATTATTTATATTTTGTATTGTTTTAAATATAATTCTTTTATAATTCAAAGTCAATATTTTTTAATTCAATAAACTTAGATAAAGCAAAGTTACCTATAAGTCCTATTCTTATTTTTATACCTTCTCAAGTATACCTTTTTATTTCTCTTTGTATTGTTTTTATTGATTATATATATATATAATATTGATCATTTATTCATCATTTAATTTATTTTTAATCATATACTAGTCTTCTTTATTAATTTGTATTTATGATATTTAATTTACTTTTAATTAAGTATTGATCCTCCACACTAAATTAATTTTTTCATTAAATAAATTTTCAGTTATAAATTCATCTTATTGATTTTGTTTATTTGTATGTTTAATTTACTTTCTGAATAAGTGCATATCACTATCATTACATAAAGATTTTATTAAAAAAGGAAAAAAAAGAAAGAAAAAAAAACACGGTGAGCTATGTGATAAAATTACATCTCATATAGGCAAAACAGCATTTATTATGAAAAGAAAAACCATGATTTCTTTTAAGAAAATAGTTTCATACTTTAAATTTATATACTAAGAAAAAGATAAATTCATTAGTATACTAAAGGAATTATCATTAGTCCATCCTCTCATATTTCAAAAATTATCTTTAAATTTTTTTTAAAATTTATCTAAAAGCTTAATATTAATTTTTTGTGATCTTCGGGAGCCATCGTGAAGATAAATCTAGGTTTTGATACCACTTGTGTCTATAGAGAAAGATGGTCATTGGAAAGCCAAAATATCAATATAATCTAAGCACCATATATTTGGTTAATGTTTATTTTATTTATTTATATTTTGTATTATTTTAAATATAATTATTTTATAATTCAAAGTGAATATTTTTTTTAATTCAATAAACTTAGATAAAACAAAGTTCTATATGTCATATTTTTTATACATTTTCACGTATTCCTTTTCATTTCTCTTTGGATTGCTTTTCTAGATTATTTATATACAAACATGATGTATATTAATTCTCATCATGTTAAATTGAGAAACTGATATGATCGTATTCAGAAAAGATTACGATTATTTCTGACTTTGTCAAACTACGTTTTTTTCTAGCATATATTCTCTTTCCCATGTATGCCAAACCACGTGGATCCAAAAAGCCACTGAAACATAAATCCTGATTATTGCGTGGATTTCTTTTCTGATCTCCAAAGCAAAGTCATTTTCATAGCGTGTGTTTTGTTACTGGTCGTAGAGAATCCACGTATATTAAGCAAATGGAATATGATATACTGCCATTCCTTTATACTCTCATTTAACAATCATAAATAATATTATTTCATTTTAAAATTTTGTTTATATATTTTTTATCCGTTAAATATAATATTTTACTATTAAAATGAATTGTAAAATAGAAATGAAATAAAAGAAAAAGTGATCACTATAGTTTTTTAAACTACCATCAGTTTTAAAATGTCATGTTTAGGGAATTTTACATTTTCCTTTACAACTGATTTTGTTGTTACCGTGTCACGGCATTGTTGTCGTAAGTCTACGAAATTGTAGGGTTATCATCCGTGAGATTTTCTACGTAAGAGAAAGGAATGAGATTTTAGAAGTGGGATTATGTTGTGGAAGTGCATAATGGAGAGAGTAGAGTGGGATTTAGGAAGAGAAGATTGTACATGACAGTGTGTTTTGGGTCTCACGGATAGGAGATGGGTATAGATGAACTAAAACTAGGTATAGCGTTTGATGTTGTCAATCTAGTGTGGAAGTGGAAAAAAGAAGAAGAAAGAAAGAGTTAAGGAGAAGGGTGGGTACATGTAAATGAAAGAAAGGAATTGTAGGGAGAGTTAATTGGGTTAGTTCTCATTGTTGAATATTAAACTAAGATAGCTTTTCAAAAGGTTATGATTTTACGTAAAAGTGGTTGGTGAAGTAGGAAAAATAAGGTACAGGAAATGATAGAAAGAAGTGAGGCCATAATTAAAACAAGGACCCGATATTTTAACAATTTTTTCTAACAAATTTTTAACGTGTCACTGTTTTATTAATTTGTATATTTGAAATGGACCAATCACAAATTATCACATATACGGTTGTAAACAAGTTGTCAAAAAAATTGTTAAAAGAACTTTTTCTTAAAATAATTAAGATAAAAGTAAAGAAAGGATGGGTAGTTTACTAGGTTCACATGAGAAATTGAGTTGTTTTATTTTGGTGGATCCATGTGGGGTTTACTTAGGGATAAAAGTATTGATTTTATTTTATTTTAATGAATTTGGTGTTAGTTATTAGAAAATGGGTGTATATAGTATATGTTTTCCGTTTTCTTATTTTGGTTGACTTGTCATTAGTTTGATGATTGTTTTATTATTGTTTCGAGAACGTCTATCACATAAAGGTTTGTTGCATGATTGTGTGAGTATAATATTGTTTATTTTTTGGAATTGGGTTTATGTTTGTGATGCCTGGTGAAGCTCCTAGAAGAGTGGTGGAAGTAGCATCGGTACATACTTGGTGAAGCTCCTAGAAGAATCACTAGTGCAGTAAAGGGAAACGACACTGGTTATTTTCGTATATATACAGTGGTTCATGAACCGAAGCATATACAGACGAGGCAAAAAAGGGTATTCTTTTTACCTCGGTTTTGAACCGAGGCAGTATGTGGGGTCTTTAGCCTTGGTTGCTTCCGAACCGACGCGCTAGATACTTCTTTTTTTCAGAAACTGGGTCTTTTGCGTGAGATGTGCATACTAGTTTACGCTTCTAGAATATAACTATCGAAGAGGCTACTACCTCGGTTATAAAAACAACTAATGCGTAAACCTTTCAAAAAAAATTCAAAATAAAAATGTAAATGAAAAATTTGAAAATATCTACTAACTATAGGCCTCGGTTCGCGCTTAAACCGATGTATAAAGGGCCTATGACATTGATTAAAATGGAACTGAGGCAGTAGAGGTTGACAAGATGGATTTGAAATGTTCAAAATCAATTTATGGCATACTACCTCGATTGGTCAAAGAACCGAGGCAGTAGGCCTATTTCAAAAAAATTGTGAGGTTTTTTTGACACTTAACCTTAAAGTTATATGTAAGTAATCGGTAGTGAGTTTGTGAGTGACCGAGTGAGTTTGGGTGTAATTTGGTTACTTTGGCGAAATAATTGTATGATTATATGTTGGTGACTTTGATTT